ATGGTGTGTAAATGTGTGGTTTATCTCTGTGTATCTACTGATGGCTGATTTGTCCAAATGCCAAGCTTCCAGGAATCAAGCAGAAATCAATACCCTAATCAAGGAACTGCCAAGGAGAAAACCGCGCTCCCACCAACACTGGCAGGGCAAGCTGCTGTATATAAACAGGGAGCAAACCCCACACTCACTAGCCCTGATGATGTTACCTAGTCGGGGAATGAAACCAACAACCAAGCTCAGAGAGCACCCAGGACTCCACGGATTACAATTATCCTTACCATTACAACGATCTCAACTACATGATGTTATGACACTACGACAGAATTACCTTGGAACTGGATCACTTAATGTTTAAAAAGCGCTAAAACACTCCTTTTTCATGGATCCCTGTAAAGCTGCTTCAAAGTAAACACGTTCTTATCTGTCACTTTGATGTACATCATTGCATGCTGTGGGTCTTTTAGTCTGGGGACTCCTTATTTTATATTATGATGTTATAATTGATTGTAATGTATTGTTACATCCATTGTTTTATACTATGTCTGCACTGCACTTAGTTATAAAACTTCTACTAATACTTCTTTAAACACAGTAGAGGTAGGAACTTGGTGGGGGGAAGAGTAACCTTATTTTTCCCCGTGCTTTCAACAGTAATTTTGAGTCACTGCTCTCTCTGTGATTGTTACTCTGGGTGAAGGAAGCTCTGGCAACAGCAATTTAAAAAATAAAAAATAGGAAGAGAGAAGAGTTTTGAACCTTGGGGGGACTTCCTGCTTTCCTATGCTGCTTTTTCGATTCCATTTGGGCCACCACTTTATAGAGTTTCATCAGTTTTACTACAACCTCCAGTTTGGTGCTACAGCAGTGTTAGAAGTCATAACGTCATAAATGGTAAGCCCTCCACTTTATTCCAGCTTTCTTCAGCTTTTGGGGAAGGAAAATAGATTATTGTGATATGGCTGCCAGTTACCCAAGGAATTCAACCCCAACTTTTGTCTTTTGGTTTGCAGTTTTGCATCCACAGCTACTGATGCATGCAGGAGACCCAGATATTCTCTTGCTCCCCTCTTTAGATGCACCATGTCTTCTGGAAGCCAGCAGCAGCAGCGTTGCAACCTCACTAAGCCAACATTCACTGAAAAACAAGCTGCTGAACTGGTCAAGAGGATATTTGGACTGGAAGTCTCCCAGCTCACACCGCTGCCGAGCTATGACGATCAAAACTTCCACATGTGCACCGCTTCGTTCACAGAGAAAGGAGAAAGCCCCCGGGAATTTGTCCTCAAAATTACAAACTGTGAAGATAGCCAGAATTCTGAGCTCATCGAGGTACAGACCCAGATAATGATGTTTCTGAACAGCGAGGGTTTTCCTGTGGCCTTGCCCCATCTCACCCAAGAGGGCAAAGTGATGTTTCTGCAAACAGTAGGTGAGGAACTGAACATATCATTGACATTAAGGTTGTTAAGCAGAGTGGTCTTTAAGCAAATCATGTGACTGGACCCAATTTTATGACCATTTTTACAATGGTCATTAAGCAAATCACATGACTGTTAAGTGAATCCAGCTTCCCCAATGGACGTTTTTTGCCAGAATTCACTTAATGACCATGTGTTTCGCTTAACAACCATCATAAAAATGGTCATAAAATTGGGTCCAGTCACATGGTGACTTGCTTAACAACCACCCACTGAACAACCAATTTCCTGGTCCCTATTGTCATTAAGCGAGGACTACCTGTACTTCTTCCAATCCTTGAGTTTTCCCAAGCCTGCTAATTCCTCTTTTTTATACTGGGTGATTCAGGCTCCAGTTAGAGAATGAGGATGCTAGCAAACAGCATATAGAATTGTGTAATATTCCATGTGTGCCTTTTAGTGGTAATATTCACCAAGACGTTTGTCCCACATTGGACTTTCCTGATGGAGATGCATCTTGTACCTTAGCTGGGCAATAGCTGTGAAGCGCCCAGTGACTTAAGGTCTCTCTTTGCCTCTTAGAGACTGGATCCTCCACCCAGGAGTATGTGGTGAGGTTGTTGAGCTACTTGCCGGGCACAACTGTGGCCACGCTTCCTGTGAGTCCCCCAGTTCTCTACGAGATTGGGCAAATGGCAGCCAAACTGGATAAAACACTTGCAGAGGTGAGGTGGTAAGATGAGGCTTCACCAAAGGAAAGAACTGGGAATTGGTTTCCATGTTAGACAATGGGTATACAGTAGTTTGTTCAGCTTTGCCTGCCCAAGAGACTTTAAGCATTGCAGCTTTATGCAGAGAAGAAGTGCGGTCAATTTAATGCAATAAGCGTTCTGATGTGACCACACTCTCTGTATATTTGGCCTTCCAACTGGGTAATAAATAAATTACAAAAGTCCAGCCAGACAAATAGACGTTAGACAACCCAGGATCTTTGGGGTTTATTAATTTTTTAATATTGTCTTTAATAAAATACTTATCACCTGTGATTTATCAGCGGGCTTCAGGAATTAGAGGAATCAGTACAAACTGCTACACTAGAAAATAAAACTCTGCAGTCAAATCTATTTGGAATGATGTCACTCCATCGAAAGATGTGTCCTGCCTTGTAAAAAAAAGTCGTCTTGTGTTTTCTTCTCACTTCAAAGAAATTCCAACATCCGTTGATAAAAAGCTTACACAGGGGTGAATTTATCTGGAATCTGACAAACGTTCCTCTTTTGAAAAAATACATTTATGCTCTTGGCAAGAGGGAGTATCTGGAAGCAGCGAACCAGGTTATTGAGCAGTTTCAAGTTCAAATCATTCCAAAGCTGAGCTCCTTTCGACCCTGTAAGTATTTTTATTCCGTGTGATCATCTTTCATTTTTTATTTTTCCTTTGCTCCGTGCGTGCGAGGCGAGGGGAAACAGGCTTCATTTCCCAGCTCTGCAATGCAATGGCCTCTAAACCTTTTTGGCTTCAATTATCAGGCCAAGGAAGCATGACCACAAGGGTCTGTGGAAACTGTAGTCCGAAACACCTCAAAGGTACCAGATAGCTTCATGATCCAGAGGCTGGTCTTCCTCAAGCTACCATAGGTAGCTCTGGCTTAACATACTGTCTAAACTCAGCTGGTGTAATTTAATCCACTGTTTCTCAACCTTGGCGACTTTCAGATGGGTGGACTTCAACTCCCAGCTGTCCATAAAGTTCACAATCCAATCCTGTCTATGTCCATAGCCTTGAGTGATCTTCTTTCTTCTCTGTTCAGGCATCAATCATGGAGACTTCAATGACCACAATATTCTAGTCGACGTTGTTTCGGCTTCCCCTCCAAATCCACACTACAGAATCTCCGGGATTTTGGACTTCGGTGACATGAGTTACGGCTACTACGTGTTTGAAGTAGCGATTGCCATGATGTACATGATGATTGAAAGTAAAGACCCCCTCCTGGTGGGTGGCCACATCCTGGCTGGATTTGAAAGCGTCGTTCCTTTGACTACGGAAGAGCGAGCCGCCCTGTTTCTCCTGGTGTGTGGGAGGTACGCTCAGTCGCTTGTGATTGCCGCCCACATGACAATCTTACACCCTGAGAATGAGGAGTATTTAATGATCACAGCCAAAAAGGGATGGAAGCATTTGATGATGCTTGTTGAGATGGGCCAAGAGACAGTCGAGAAGATCTGGTTTCAGACGGCAGAATCTTATCTGAAATGATCTACCACCATCTCTGAGGACACCGTTATGGATGTTATCAAGCTGGAACCAGGGGCTCAGCAAAAATTTAAGGGCCACGACTAGGAAAGGCTTATCATGCTACTGAAGAATTGTTTCAGGCCCAATACACAGTCCCCACATATAAAACACAGTCTTGCTGTTTTCCTACAAACTCATTACTTATGAAAGAGTTGCCCCAATTCCGGGATGACATTTTCCACATTGTTCGGAAGAAGGTCGTGCTCCTGTTGCAGCTTTGCTTCTTCCATGCCCCCCCCCACAATATTTGCCCCCTTTTGTGATTTTCCATATCACATCCAGCTTTGACTACTAACATTCAAAACATGCTAATACTTCTGCAGCATTGGAGTTGCTCCTGATATAAATATAATCCGTCTCAATGTTTTGATTTTTGTTATCGCGATATACCACCGTACAAACTACACAGAGCGATTCAGTTTAAAGCTTTACTTACCTGGTATTTATCACTGCAACATTATAATTTCTCTCTCCCAATGAAATTTGAATGCATTGGGGAAAATAATGAGGCCACCTATTTTTCCCTAGCTGGAAAAAAAAACCTATCATATGCTGTGTCATACAGAGCAAACTTACATCCGTGCAAATACATATACTCCTGGGTTACAACCTTATCCAAGAGATGGAAGTGGTAATTTAGGGTTTTTATTCTGATACTCACCACATTCCGTTCCCTTCCTCTTCACACTTGGGGCACTATGATCTTTGAGCAGTATGAAGGAAAAGCCCATCCATTCTAGTTCCATCTTGGTATGCAGATAAAGATAGATTTTTTTGACAGGTCTGAGAACACCATTCGACACAAATTGAATGGAAGAATTAAAACCTACAAAGTATTGACATTTGGGCGAGCCCTAGCTCTTGAGTGGGAAGAGACATGCTCAGGAAACGATTTAAGCAGGATTGTTCTTGAAGTACAAGCAGGGTTGTATTTTAGCACGTGTGCCAGAGGAGGGAAAAGGTGTGTAGGGATTCAGTTTTAATACAAGATGGCAGCAAACTTTCCCATGAACATTCAATAAGGTGGTTTTATTAAACTGTGTACACCGCTATGTAGCGTAGAAGCCCTGTGTTCCTTATAACAACATGATTTTAAAAATGAGAAATCCAAGGCTAATAGGCTACATCAGTGTTGTCCAAACTTGGTCACTTTAAGATGAATGGACTTCAACTCCCAGAATTCCTCAGCCCCCCAGGGGGGCGGGGGAATTCTGGGAGTTGAAGTCCGCTCATCTTAAAGTGGCCAAGTTTGGACAACACTGGGCTACATTGTCCAACTTTATTTCAACCTCCACCTATCACCGCCTCTGGAAGACTCAACAGCAACAGGCTGCACTGCAGGGACGGTACAAACCCCACTGAGGCTCAGCCCTTCTGCCAGTCCTGCGATATTGACCAAACTGCCGGTGGATTTCAATATAATATATTGATAATACCTGTTGCAAGGTAGTAGCCCGGTGTGGTTTGCATACTTACTTTTAAAAGACAAAACACATCACTTTTTTTTCCTCTCTATGCAGA